TCATGTTTCCCCCGACAAAGATAATGATTATTTTAATAATGTATGTTCCTTTAAAAGTTCTTATTTCATTTGATTGTCATAAACTAGATTATGGGATGGGCAGGGAAGTTATGATCCAAGTTTTTCCTGAGGAAAAAGGTCAGAATAGTTTTTTAATTAGCTCAAGGTCATATATTAAATTAATAATTGGGTCTGGTGATTTTTCTACAAGAAAAATCTACTTTCCCTAAATTTTTTTTTTAAGAAGTGAAACTTCGAGTCTTTGAGGCTGCACTATTGATTCAGATTAAAGCAACACATTCAAAATGTAAGCTATATTTTGCATTAAAAATATGTAAAATGGGTTGGAGAAGATTTCAGTGGTTCTTAATTGGGAACCCCCAACCCCCAACCCCTGGCTGGGGCATTTGGCTTTGTTTTGGCCTTTTTTGTTTTTGTTACCGGGGGGTTGGGGGTTGGGGGGGGGTTGGAGCTTTTGGCATGTACTAGGCAGATTATGTTAATCATTTTACAACATACAACCTCCCACAACAAGGAATTATTTAGCCCAAAATATCAATAGTATGAAGGTTGAAAAACGCATTGGATGTTCCCCATTGATTTTAAAGCAGAACTTGGATTTTCTTGAACAATGAAGTGAGATGTACAGAATATATGATGCCTTTGGGTTCTGGTTTTCCAAAGACTTTTCATTCACTCAAAATAGTGATATTTAGCAGAATGGCTAACTTTGCAGAAGAGGTTAAACTCTCAGGCTAAACTTTCCTACCTTTTCTGCCTTTATTGGTAATTCCTCTTTACCTCTCTGCTATACCTTTGGTTTCTTCCTGCCAATTGTCCCTAACATTTCACAAAAACAAAACACTCTTTTTTTTCTGTGTATATTGTCTAATCTCCCTCTCTTTTTCATCCCAGTGTCTTTGAGGAGTAATCTACAATTATTTGCATACACTTTATTCCACTAAGATTTCTTTAGCAAGATATTACTAGTGCCTTTTTGGTCATCAAATCCAATGCACACATTTCAGCCTTATCTGTAATTCTCTGTCAATTTTTGTACTGTTGATTAGTTTTCTTCTTGAAAAACTCTCTTTCCTTAGCTCAGTGGCTGTTCCTCTTTGGCCCCCTGAGGGCCCTCCTCTTTCTGCCCCTCTATCCTGTGGCTATTCTTCAGGATTCTGTCCTTGATCAGCTTTCCCTTTTTACATTGCTCTTCTTGAGAGATCCATTCTTTTGGAATTAAATACCAGTTTATTTTCCATGACTCCCAAAACTACAACCTGTAGCTTTGGCTTCGCTCTGGAGTTCTGGGTCTATATATCCATCTACTATCTTCTAGATGAGCCACAGACATCTCAAACTCCGTGTCCAAAACTGAATTTCTCTCTATGCCCAGCCTTTTTGTCTTTCTGTATCCCTTACATCTTTATGATTGGGACCATAAGCCAGCCAGTTACCCAACCACGAACTCTGGGCTCATCCCAGAATTCTTCTGTGTTTTCACTTTGCACCCTATCCCACTGGTCTCCAAGCCTTTCATAGTTTACCGTGTGAATGTCTCTTATATTCCTTTCTTCCTCTTCATACCCAGCGCTACCATGTGTCTTTGCACCCATACCATATGTCTGAATCACCCACACTAGAATTAAAGTAACCTTTTTAACTTTGGGTGGGGGGGAAGGTGATGATATTGCTTCTCACCTAAAACTTCTCAGTGACCCCATCCTAGCTGCATAGCAGAATCCTAAATATTGTAGTTCACCCGGCTGCCCGCTTGCTTTCCGGCCTCCTCTTTCATCGCAGTCTCCACCCACCCTCCAAACAAGCTGGACAAGTTGTGTATTTCATGCCATGTCTTTTTATAAATTGTCCCTTTGTTTATCACAAATTGTTCTTTTGTTTAAAATACCTGGTTAACTACACCTTTATTTATCATTTTGCTAAACATTAAAACAAGTTTTATTTTGTAATGAAGTAATGAATATACATAGACATTTAAAGCAATCGGATAGTTCTAAAAGGCTTATCACAACAAACAGCAGGTCTTTGCATCCCAACTTCCTGCCTCTCCACCTCCCTAGAGGCAAGCGCTTTGGACTCTTGTAGGTGTTTCTTCTGGTGTCCCCTCTGTATCGCGACCTAATTTCCTTATAACGTTACTTCTTAACTTGCCAGGTTTAGACTTTACCTAATGAGTTTCTCATTTCTCCCAGTGTGTCTGCTGCTCCCATGTCCTGTGCTTGGTTTGGGCACTGGTTTGGCTGAGGACGTCTCTTCCCAGGGGCTCTGGCTCCACTGCAGAGGACAGTGATACCAGCATGTGGAACGAGGCTTAGCAGAAGGAACCTGGGCCGTAGCCCTCAGCCTGTCAGAATGTTCGGAGGCCTGGGCAGAGTTTCAGTAGAATCTGAGAGGTCGAATTGGAGAATAAGGGGTCCCATTATAAGTGATAATGGGAAGGAGTGCAACTAGACTACAAACTCTATAGGATGTGCTGAACCATGTTTCTTTAAAATAAACTTAATTTAATTTTTACAATAACCCTGAGAAGGAGCTATTGCCATCCCCAGGTTGGGAATGTTGAATCTCTAAGAGGTTTAGAGATTTTAGGGAAAATCCATTAGAGCAGATTATCTCTAGAATGAAGGCCTCTTGATTTTGCCCCATGGAGAAAGCCCATGTGTGGGATTTTAGAAATGCATTAAACATGCTTTATTATTTTCCAGTAGGAATTGCTGCTGGGATTTTTGCATTTGAAGGATTTTTTTATTTGTTTATAGATTGATTCATTTATTCTTTCAACATTTGTTGAATGTCCATTATGTTCTGTGTTAGATACCAGGATTGCAAAGATGAGTAATACACTCTGCTTGAGAAGCTCTCAGTGATTGTTTGTTTCTGTTTGTTCTAAGTGTGAAGGGAGGGGCAGGTGTTGGGAAAAAAGTGTAAATAATCTGGAAATTTGATGGGCAAATTGTGATTTTAGAAAGAAAAATTGAGTCACTCATTTTCTTGTTGCAACAAACAAAATATGCTTGTAGAAAAAGTAGAAAGTAGAAATAAGCAAAATTAACAAAAATAGTCTCCTCCTAACCAGTGTGAGTAACTCTGTTTACTTACTCACTTTTTTCACTATTTAAGTGGATAGTTTTTTACGTTTATCACACACACACACAACCACCCTCCCCCCCACACAGACAGATCACACTATTTTGCTATTCTATAGTCTGCTTTCTTATTTAGGAACATATAGAAATGTTCCATTTTACTGGCTGAATAACATTTTATTGCATGAAGATAGTTCAATGTATTCAATCAGTCCTCTGTTGTTAGTTATTTAGGTAATTTCTAATTTTTATAACTCATGCCATTTTGTAGCTAAATCTTTTTATATATTCTAAATTATTTTTAGGAAAAATTGCTATCAATGTCATTACTGGATTTAAGGATTTTTTCTTTTTTTTTTTGTTTTTTTTTTTTTTGCTTTTATGTTCTGTATGGTGCTAAATTATCCTCCAAAAGAGCAGTACTAATTTACCCGTAATCAGTGGATTTGAGTTTCCATTTCTCTTCCCTGTTTCCAATACTAGGTACCATCTCCTCCTTTAAGAAAAATCTGCAATCCAATAGGTAGAAAAGAGTCTCCTTTTTGAAAGACCCTTATGAAAACTCTTGACTTTTGAACTTGCTAGCTACTATTGTCTTTTGGTATAGTGCTATCACTGTGTGTGATGGTTAATTAGTTGGCTGATTATCTGTCTTAGTAGCTTGGGAGCACCTTGAGGCCCAGCATGTCCTATTCACCTGTGTGTTCCTGGATGCCTGTGAATGTTTGCTGAACTGAATTGAGTTGGAGAACGTGCCTGGTTTAGAAACAGTTGGCCAGCTGTATCCATTGCAGTACAACCAGTGGGCAGGTTATTTTATTCCTGTCAGTTGCATAATGATGAGTAATTTTTATTGAGCATTGATTACATGCCAATGCTGCATTAAGTGCTTTGCATACTGATCTGGCAAAAACAACTCTGAACTCAAGACCAGCTAATTCCCAAGGCATCTTTCTTTTTCTCCTCTCTCCTCCCCTTTCCTATTTTCTCTCTCATATCTTCTTTCTATTATAGACATTTTAAATACATATAAACTAGAGAGAACAGCATAATGAATACACCCACTACCCAACTTCAGCAATTATCAGCATGTATCCAAATGTGTTTCATCTATGCCTTTCCCTCACTACCTCGCATCCTCCTCGCCATGTTGCATTATTTTAAAGCAAATCTCAGATACATCAATTTTATTAATAGTTATTTACTACATCTCTAAAATTCTTTTCTATATCTCTAAGAGATATGGACGTGTTTTTGAACCTAAATCACAATATCATTATCATTCTTTAAAATATTTATAACAATTCCTTAATGTCATCTAATGTCCAGTGTCAATCGAATTTTCCAGATTATCTCGGAATTGACTTATCGCAGTTGGTTTGTTTGAATTAGGATCCACTCAAGGACCACACACTGTAATCTGAACCATTCTAATCACAACACAATATTCCTCTCTCTCCTGTAAAACGTGAGGCCTGCCCTTCTCGGGGGCAGATAGGAGGAGGAACATAACATTTTTTAAAGAATTCCCATGGATGAAATATGGTCAATAATTCACATCTCCCTAGAAAGAAGCCCACTCAGTAGTTAATACCTGGGAAACACTGGGTCTGTGTGGAATGGAAAATGCACTTTGCACTGAGTGTATTTGTCCAGAGCCTGGCAACTCAGTGGCTCTAGTTTCCTGCTTTTGCGATGAGCCTCCTTCACAAGCTCTGGCCAAGTCTCTTCCCATAAGATGCATAGTTAGGTATAAACGACAGTGGCTTGAAAGCTCTGTCTTTAGCATTGAGCTGAAAAAAAAGAGACATGCTGGCCTCTGTACCCCTTCCTGGCTGGGAGAGAATGACTTGGAAATGGAAGCCACAGGCTTGTTATTTTCATAAACGGGTCATGACTTTGATAGAATATTTCACAGTACGCAGTGGTTCAAGTTTTCATGTTTGTTTTCTGCTCTGTTTTGAACTTGAAGGTCTAGTGGTCCTCCATTGTGTTGCAGCAGATGGGAATTCGACAAGAAGTCCTGAAATTAATGGCATCCTCTGCGGAGATCCCGAGGAAAACTGTGCAGGTATGTTTAACAAACTTCATAGTCAATCTCAGAAAGTTGATCTCCCTGAATTTTAATCTTTTGATCGTCATAGCAATCATAATACTAGGTGGTTATTTGAGCGCATGCTAATGTACCAGGCACTGTGCTAAGTGCTTTGCAGACAGTAATTCATTCACTCCTCACAAGAGCCCTCTGAGCTAGATTTCAAGGTGAAACCTACAAAGATTAAATAAATTGCCAAAGGTCACACAGCTGGTGGTAGCAAATCTGGGGTTCGGCTCTGGTCTTTCTGACTCTAGTGCCTCCACTCTTCACCACTGTACTGCTTCAGCATCACACATGTGTGCCCCAGACTCTATTCTAGCGTGTGCTGTCCAGGACTGGATTCATGGAGAGTTGACATATTCTATTCAAACTTTAATTCTTTTTTTATTCCATACTTAAAAAAAGGGAAGAAGGCAAGTATTTTATGTATTTTGCCTGGGGAATGCTTGAGTTAGTGTTCTCTAAGTTATTAGTCTGGGAGAGAGATTTGCCTTAGTAAAAGATTGGATAATAAGTGGCTTTGGGGGCCATGAAGTCTTTGTTACAATACTCAACTCTGCCATTGTACTGTGAACACAGTTATAGATGCTGTGTAAATGAATACGCTTGGCTGTGTTCCAACAGAACTTTACTTAGAGAAATGGGCTGTGGGCCAGATTTGGCCCTTGGACCACAATGTGCTGACCCCTCATCTAAGGTTCTCTTTGTTCTGCATAGATTATATGGTCTGGTCTTCTACAGGGGTTGTTTCTGATTTAAAAAACAAAAACAAAAACAAAACACAAGCCAATCCCCAAAGAAGCGTGGAATGGAGAAGAGCCTCCTGTTTTCCCTGGAAACTTCTCCCAGCTGGGAGTGTGGTGACTTGGTGTGAAGTGTTCCTTTCCTAGCACCCTAGGGAAGTTGTAACTGAGCCAGGAGCACGCTGAGCAAGTCTTCCTGATGTGAGTCACTGGTTCCAGCCCAGTCTTCCTCTGCCACCCCTCACAGCAGTGGGTGGTCTGGAAGGTGCTCATAGGCTGTGGAATCTGATGGTGACTTAGGTCATGCTTGTGTGGGTCTTGTCACCATGAAGGGAGAAGGACAAAGCCAACTTTATGTGTTCATGTGTTTTTCTTCAGTCTAGTTTCCAATGTCTTAAATGATGACATTTTTCACATTTCCCTTGGGAAATTATACCATAACCTGATGACTGACAAATGTTCAAAAATCTTCCTCATCATCATCCTAAATGTGTTTTCTAATTTTCTTGTTATTGTAGTAAGAACATTTAACACTAGATCTACCCTTTTAACAAATTTTACAGTGGACAATACAGTATTGTTAAGTATAGGCATGATGTTGTACAGCAGATCTCTCTAATTTATTCATTTTGTATAACTGAAACTTGATATCT